TTAATTATTACAAGAAAAATTCTTCTCCCATGGACTTAACAACACGATAATTAATTCAATTAAGAGAGTGTTCTTTTACTTTTAAACACATTTCTGGAGTTCAAAGCGTTTTGGCAGATTTTTTTTAGTTGATTAGAACAAGAACCACCCTAAAAGGATCTATCTAGTAACTCCTAGTTACTTCAAATAAATGATGAAATAGTTTATTTTGTCGAGAACTCAAATGACCAAGTACAAAATTACATTAATAATACCAATGTAAACAAAGATCCCCTTTAAAAAATTTTAAATCATGCATTCTTATTCGAACAAAAGTTAGATAAAAATATTAAGAAAATTAAAAATAATATCGAAAATGAACAATTTAATAAATCTAGTCAACATTACTTCATTGATTCTGATACAAAATTATTATTGTATGTACACATGGAAAATAGAGAATTTCACGTTTGTTGTTTCTAAATCCTTAATATTTAAAGTTCTTGCAACAATTCATCTACCACATTTTGAAATTAAGAAAACATACCAATTTTTAAAATGTAGATATTTTTGGTTTGCTATCAGGGGTCTGTTTAGAAGAAATTTGGGTTCATTAACGGATCCTTCACAAAATATCTTTTCACAAAAACGGACCCTTCACAAAATAATTTATCTTTTAATCGGACCTTTTACAAATTTGTTTGACTTCATTATTGTTTTTTTAATTGAATAAGCCCTTCCCAGGGGGGGGGGAAGGAGAAAGACAGATGTAAGTTTTGTCTTCAGCAGACGCTTCTTCCTTTATTCGTAGCAGTAATTGCTGTTTATCTTTTAAAATTCAATTTTTCTAAATTACAATTTTAGAGTGTTGAGCATAATCTTGTATCTCTTTACAATTTAAAAACTCCTTGAAAAAGTTTTTTTCAATAACAGAACCCTACCTGCACAAATTCACAAAAGCAGGACCCTGGTTGAAAGAATGTGACTTAACGTTAATTTTATATTCACAAATTACGAGTTATTTTTCCACAATTTTACAAAAACGGACCTTTCACAAAATGTCTGGACAGACTCCTGGCTAAGTATTCTGATACAGAAAATTTTGTTCAATCTTGTTCCAAATGAATGGAAAATAAGCATCATAGAATACCTCAGGCTCCTTTATAAAATAATTTTATTCCCAAAAGACCATCTGAATTTGTTTCTTTAGACATAGCTAGACCTTTCTCTAATCAACAATATATTTTGACTGTTATTGATCATTTCAGCAAACATTTAGAACTTTTGACATTAAAAAAAATTACTACCGAAGCTGTCCTGATAGTCTTTTTTGCATATATTTGCACTTATGGCAGATCTGATATGATCTTAGAAGATTTAGGTACTCAATTTACATCAGAAATATTTGAATATTTTTCAAAATGATTGGGAATTAAAATGAATCACACCACTTGCGCATATCCTGCCGCTAATTCGGCAAGAGAACGAATTAATACTAGCATCAAATCAACTATACATTCTTTAATGATTTTGAAAATGCAGTGAAAATTTATAAAAACTTGTGTAATGGTGCTAAACATAGTACAACCGGATTTTCACCTAATATAATACATTTTGGTTGAAATTTGTCATTAATTTTTTATACTTTTAATCCCGATATACAAGTACAGCAAATAGATAAAGGGCATTACTTGGATGAAATTCTTTTGGATTTAAACAAAATATATGATAAAACTTATGAAAACATCTCTGATGCTCAGTATAAACAAAACAAATGTAATAATCAAAAATTTAAACTCAGATGCTCAAAACCTAATGACATAGTATATATTAAATCAAGGGGGCATAAATATAACAAAAAGTTTTCAAGTCCTTTCAAAGTAATAAATAAGCATACTAATTTAACTTATTAAATCCAAATGTTGGATAATCACCCTGGAAGAATTTTTAAAATACAGATTGATAGATTATTATTAATGAATAAAAAGGAAAGTACATTTAAATGATAACGATGATAATGTCTCTAGGAATAATAAATCTCATTACAATTTAAGGTATAGAATCGTTTAGATAATTTTTTTAATGTTGTGAATTAAAGATTCATATTGATTTTTTTAAAATTTCTCCAGCTGTAAAGGCAGTAACATTTTGTTCCCAAATATATATAAAGTAAAAAAAAAAAAAAAAAAAAAAAAAAAAAAAAAAAATTCATTCATATAAATATCTTTTTTTTTCAAGTGTGTGTTGAATATATATTTACTATTTTACATTTCAAGTATATTATTTTTTTGAGTTCGTATTTGTGATAATGAAAACAGAAACTAATATGTTATATAATATGTTATATGAATAACTGTATTTATAAATTATTAAACGCTTGAGCAATCTAAATATATATTTGAAAGAAATGGTTTACACTATGAACTCATTTTTTTTCTTCTTCTATAAACTGTAATCCTTGTGCACAATGGATGCTAATACAAGGCATTTTAGGATTAGTAAGTAAATAATTAATACTTTCAAAATATTTTAAAAGATATTTTTTATAAAATATTATGCGATTTGTAATAAATACTATATAAATATTCTTGACTTTTAACTATATAACTACATTTAGCAAATATGTATACACTATAAACTTTTTCATATCTATTTCATAAATTAAATTAAATCCCAGTATTGCTGTTGTTTTGCATGAAGGCCTTCGTGCGGAATGATTTAAGGTGAGTTTCTTTACTTTGGCCGGGTAATTAAAATTCATTAAGTAACATTGAGATATAATTTTTCCCCCAAGAAAATAAACATCAGTAAAAATTAATTCAATAGTAACTATTTTTTTTATTTAATTTTACAATAGCTGTAAAAATTAAATAAAACTTTAGTTTTAATCATGTAACAACAGCAAACCAAAGTTGAACAATATTAAACATTTTGTTTTATGTCTTAATATTTAGGGTAAATTAAAATAAGAAAATATATAAATAAGTTTTGAACTGAACTATTTTATACAATTCAATAATTGTTCATAGTAAAGATATAAGATTTTTTGCTGAGTATAAAATCTTTAGATGAACATTATAAAATTTTCAGAATTTGTTTCATTCTGAAATATATATTAAAAGTAAGATATTATAGGCAAACGAAATTTATGTAAATCCATTTTCTCAAAAGAAAGAACTTACAAAGAAATAAAGAAACAATGTATGCTTGCTGTTCTTTCTAATTCGAGAGAAATTAAAATATTCTGGCCAGGTGATCATAATGCTCAGTTAATATTGCATTTTATATACTCAGCTAATTTTACATCAAAAACTCAGAACATTTATATGTAAGATTTAATAACATATGAGTGTTGAAATTATATTTTAGTAGTATAATTGCATGTTATAAAAATTTTTGAATAATTTTACTTTGATATCTAACTATACATAAGTGTATAGATATTTTATGTCTTAATGCGTAAAATTTTTTTGTAACATGAGGAAGATCCATGAATTTAGTATAAATTGTATACATTTCCTAGCTTTTAAAATATCTTGAAACTTTTTTTTAATCATTCTTAATCAAATTATAATTTAATTAAATCCACGGACTGTCAAGGAGAAAAATTTTGTGCGGGGTATCCGATGGTGGTATCCAATTCTGGTGAACAACTTTTTCCTTTTTGGTAAAATTTTATGCATACATCACAGAGTGGTGCTTCTCTGCAAAATTACGGAATTCAATTTACCTACAACATTGATGTCAATTTATTAAATAAAAGGATCATATCTTGCTTTTTTTTTTCAATTGAATAAATAAAAATGTTACATTTTAGCTGAAGTAAATAAAAATTCAATGTCACAAGATATCATTTCATTTAAATAAAATATTTGAAAATAATGGAACGATAAAAAGGATGGGCAACATTAATATTTACAGGGTATCTGCTACATTTTAGATTTTCAAATTCATGACTAATTTCAAGAATTTTCATGACTTAACAAAGTTACTATTTTCTCCAACAAAAACACAACAACAAATCTAAAATAGCATTATTATATAGAAAATGATAGAACCAAAACTGTTATACTCTTCATCTTCATATTTATAGATTTAAAAAACAGAGTAAAGAAAGAGTTCAAGCAATAAAATAACTGAAAAAAAATTTCAAAAGCTAATAATTTTTTCTTCCTTTTTGTTTGCAGAATTATATTCTAAAGATACTTGTCTTGTTCATAGAAAAGGAAAGAAATGCTCCTGATTCTTCTGTTCTCATTTCTGAATTTAAAAAAATTTGCCAATGACTGGCTTACTTCAGATAGAATTTTAAATTGATTAAAAAAAATAATAATAAAAAATTCTGAAATCACAGAAGTTTAAAAGATAATTCAGTCTTTAAGTGATGTTTTTTTCCCCCTCCATTTTTTGAAAGAACACCATAATTTTTGAAGAACATGATAAAAACATTTTATATTTTAATACAATATGACTATGAGTGAAGGATTCGTTAAAAATTCAGATATTCAGAACACCGTGAAATTGGGGAAGGGGGGTTAAATCCCATCTTAAAAATAAGAATTTTCGGCGACCTAAATCCATGATTTTTTTCAGAAAATTGTTAAAATCATGACATTTCAGGACAAATTCTGTTCAATACCAAAATCCGTGAATTTCCATGATTTTTTCAAAAAATAGTTAAAATCATGACATTTCATGACAAATTCTGTTCAATAGCGAAATTCATGACTTTCCATGATTTCTCATGACATTCCATGTGCGCAGATACCCTGTATTTAATATAATTTTTTATTTGAAGGCCAAAAGGGACAAATGCTTACCCCGTAATAAATGTACCCTAGAAAAACCTTAGAAGAAAAACAATTTGCAACAGAGCAGGTAAGCATGTTCATCAAGTTTAGGGGTATCTGCTATTTTGGATTTATTGGACAAATCTGGACACATTATTGTACAGTGAAATTTACAGCAACAAAAACAAAACATGAACTATTCAAGAGAATTTCAGTAAAAAGTTTTCTCACCGAGTCGCCTGATGTTCCAGTTGTGCCATTGAATTATCTACGCATTCTGTCCAAGCTGCCAAATCAGTCATTTTCCCAGCAGGAGGTTGAGGCAGTTCATACCTTAACATCAAGAAAGAAATGTTTCAAAGAAAAATAATAATGAATTTCAGGGTTAGAAATTAAGAAAACTTACTGGTCCTGAAGCACGGCAACTAAAAGATACAGTCAGTACCGCCTATATGGTCACCCTCTTATAAGGTCACCCCGCTTATATGGTCAATTTTCTAAAGTCTTGTCTAACTTAATAGGAACATGCGTTAAAGCTCACCGCTTATATGGTAATCCTATTTTTCAAGTTACCGGTTATATGGTCAGTTTCCTTTTTTTTTTCTTTTGAAAAAAGATACATTTTAAGACATTTCTTTAGACAGGAAGACAAGAAAAATGACCAGAAGGTAAACACATTCCTTCGACCCCCGGAGAGAACTGGAATTTCCCCCTCTATTTCGTCACCCTACCCTCTTTTCTCTTTTGCATTCATTGATGACCGTACCCTCTCACCCTCTCCTCATTTGACCACTCGCATTCTTTTCCCCATCCAAGGGCAAAATGTCTTTTGATCGTTTGTAGTTATCTCTCGGAGCTTGAAAAGGAGTTGAAGTTGAGAAAAAAGAACATTTTTATTGGATTACTGAACGAATAACGTATCAATGCTTTCATTATGGCTTCGAAAAGAAAGATTTCAACAATATCGGAAAGAAATGAATTGGTTGAAAAGTTTAAAACGTCTAACCTTTCAAAAGCTACTTTTGCCAAAGAAAATTCTATACCGCGAACAACTTTAAATAACATTTTAGCAGCCAAACGTAGCTCTCCAGATGTTTCAATTAGCGACCGAGAAGGAAAACGTCAACGTGTGTCACCTTATGAGAATGTGCAGAAGGCTCTTCTGTCATGGATCAAATATGCAAGATCACAAAATGCTCCTATATCCTGGAATATTCTAAAAGAAAAAGCTTTAGCAATAGCTAAAGAACTTGGAGGATCAAATTTTGTTGCAAGCTATGGCTGGATACAGCGATTCAATGCAAGAAATAACCTATTCTTTAAGAAACTGTGCGGAGAAGCTGCTGATTTTGACAACAGTTCTTTAAAAGACTGTTCTATATTGACCAAAGCTGGAACATGGTGTCGTCGAAAACTATTGAAAATTGTTTCCGTCACGCGGGGTTCCACAGTTCTCCAGACTCTTCAGCATCATTAGAGGACCCTGAGGAAGATCTTCCATTAGCTGAATTGGCAGAAAATCTTCGAAACCGAGGCTATGCAATGCCGAACGTAAATTTGTATTCCCAAATAGACGTTGATGTCCTCACTAATTGGGAAGCAACTGTGGAAGGCATTGTATCTAATGTCTTAAATCTGAACGCTGAAGGAAGTGACGATGATACTGAATGCAATAAAAAGTCTGTATCAACAGCTGATGCTCTTAAGGCTATAAATGACTTAAGGTGTTTTTTTAGCAAATTCAGATGCAGCAGATGAACATTTAAAAACTATCAGAGACTTAGAAAAAGTTCTTTTAACAACCAAGAAGATGAAACAGACAAGCTTATCGGAATATTTTTTGAACATGTGCATACGCTAAGGTAAAGAATTAAATTTTTCCAAAAGTATAAAAATTATTTTTGCATTCTTTCTTATTATGCACCTTAATAATTAATTTTTAAACGTTTTTGAAAGTTGAATTATTTGTTTAAAAAATACATTCTGATTCCAGAATATATTCACGCCATATTAATTATACTATATATTTGGTTATCGCACATATGGTCACACCGCTTATATGGTCATAATATTCTGGACCCATGAGCTGACCATATAACCGATACTGACTGTATTACAAATTTGCACATTTTTCACCATTTAGTTTGCCATCTCTAATAAATAACATTTACATGAAACATAAATGTTGGAAGGATATGGAAGAGCATAATATCAGAGTTGGCAAGGTTTAGGACAGAATGGATTAATCCAGAGTTTAAACCGTTCTGTCCAAAACCCCTTTGTTAGAATTGTTACAATTAAAAAAAATAAAATATTGTGAAAAAAAGGCTAATTTTAGAACAAGTAACAAAATGAGGACAAGTTTTTGTTTTATTAAAAAAGTTGATGACTACTTTTAATATTGCATTACTTATCATTATGGGAAAACATAATTTTTCAGTATATAAAGCATATTTAAAGGATAAGGTAATCAATTTTGTTGTTCAATGAATTGTGGAGCTTCAAAACTTATATTTTTCTATATTATATTATTTTCCTTTAATAAGTTAAAGCAAATTTTATTAAAAATATCAAATATTTATTAAATATGTAATTATGTGCACAATGGTAACACCTTTCTGAATTTTTAACTATTACCAAAGTTCAAGGTTTTAGACAGTTTTGGACAGTTTAAGACAGTAAAACCAAGGTGTCCTGCCCAAAACCAGTTTATAATGTCTAAACCCCCAACCTTGCATGATAAAACTTCACATCAAATGCTGGTCCAGGGATCTAACTGATAAATTATTTTATGGCTGTCCAGGACAAATTTTAGCAATTTCAGACCAACTTACAAACGCTAATTTTGGGACCTTACAGGGGACATAGCCAAATTATTCAACAAAAAATAAGCACCTTTTAAGCACGTTTCAAGTACTCAAAAAATATTTTTAAGCTCTTCAAAAAAAATATCACAATTAGGCAGGGTTGCAAAGTTTTTGACAATTGACGTTTTTATCTTGTTTCAACTGTCATGCCAAAAAAAAAACATTTTGGTATTATTTTTGACAATTGTCAAAAATCATGAAACTTAGAATGATGCAAAACGAATGGCGTTTTCATACGCCACTGACTGACAATACGCTGAAATAGATTGAGTTGGAATTAATTGTGAAAACGTTGAATAGAACAATGTGAACTGTGTCTTTTTGCATAACTCAAAGCGAAAATCAAGGAAATCAAAGGAAAAATCTCATTTTAAAAAAGGGGAAATTAAGCACTTTTTAAAATTAACCAATGATAAAAGCACCTTTAAGGGCTTTTAAAAAACGAAAATTGAAAATAAGCACCTTTACGCACTTTCTAAAAACACTACGCACCCTGCCTAAATATATTATTTTTGGATGGTGCTCAAAGAAAACACATAAAATTTTATGTGTCAAAATTTCAACTGCTCATTTTCCAATCACAGTTTCGAAAGCTTTTTCTAAATGTGTGAAATTTTTGTTCTAACCGTGGTATGCAGGTAATTTTAAAGCTGGGTTCTTTTCTAAATAAGAAGAGGAAATGCTTATATTTTTATGTCAGCACATCTTCTTCTAGTTTCATTATTCTGATTGTTTAAGCTGATGTATTCATGTAAAAATAATTGTTATGTAACTAATTGTTACCAAACATAAAATTATTAACAATTCTTTTATTCAATAATCGTCTCTTAAAGTTCTTTTCAGAAATGAATCTTCATAGCTGCCAACATGGATAGGAAAAAATCCAGTAAATTTTACGAAATAATAAAAATTTAAGATAATTGTTGCAAAATATACTAAATATTTTACATATAGGGAATTTTAGAGATTTTTAAAGTCATTAAAATAGAAAAACTTCAAAAGTTTCCAGTTATGATTTCATATTAAATTATCTTGAAATGATATGTATTATGAATATTCATAATNGTATGCAGGTAATTTTAAAGCTGGGTTCTTTTCTAAATAAGAAGAGGAAATGCTTATATTTTTATGTCAGCACATCTTCTTCTAGTTTCATTATTCTGATTATTTAAGCTGATGTATTCATGTAAAAATAATTGTTATATAAATAATTGTTATATAAATAATTGTTACCAAACATAAAATTATTAACAATTCTTTTATTTAATAATCGTCTCTTAAAATTCTTTTCAGAAATTAATCTTCATAGCTGCCAAAATGGATAGGAAAAAATCCTGTAAATTTTACGAAATAATAAAAATTTAAGATAATTGTTACAAAATATACTAAATATTTTACATATAGGGAATTTTAGGGATTTTTAAAGTCATTAAAATAGAAAAACTTCAAAAGTTTCCAGTTATGATTTCATATTAAATTATCTTGAAATGATATGTATTATGAATATTCATAATTTTGAATAGTAATAAGTATTTATTTCAAAGATAGTTAAGTGAATTGTAAAAACAAGACTTGCTTTATTGTGTATTAGTGACACGTATTTAAATATTCAAACAAGCAATAATCTGCACAAAAATTCTATTTCAATAGGGATTTTTAAGGAAATTTACTCAATTTTTAGGCATTTTTTAAATGTACAAAAACCAAGAGAATTTTTATTAAACCAATAGACTAGGAGAAACTGGCAAAATCCAGTAGAGTTGGCAGCTATGACTTTTGAAATGTTCACATATTCTGAGAAATTCTTTAAAAGAAATTCATTATATATTAATATTAGCAGTTTTTTTAATCATTTAAAAGTTTTAATTTTCAAAAAAAAAAAAAAAGAAAGAAAGAAAGACCATTTTAAAAATGCTACAGTGAATAGCAATTTCCTAATGTGTCCTATACTAGACATTTAACATTTTAGCCTACACATTTAGAATACATTCTGCCACTTCTCAAAAACAAAAACAAAAAAAAAATGTTCTTTCAAATCTCTAGTTTGTTATTTTCAATTAATGACAAAGTAACTGAGTAAATATAATTGAATCCATTTAAGACTACTCTTAAGCACCTCTTAAGGGATCACAGTACACAAAAAAAGACCAAAATATCGTTATTTTTTCATTGCTTATAATGAAACTTCAAACTATTTCAAGCGCTCTGGGAAAAAAAACACACATCTTCCTATCTACATTTTTAAAAACGTTATGAATGATTTCAGATTACCCTTAAAACAGAAACTTGATCAACAGATAGATTTTAAAGTGCTTTTTCTCATAGATGATAATTTTGTGTTTCAATCTTAATTAAATCCCTAGGAAAAATTTTCTGTTTAAGATAAGGCTTTGAAGTAACCTTTTTTATCTAAGTATAATGCACTTATTTAAACTGTGCATGGAATAAGCATTTTATGAGGTATTGCAATTTTAACAGGAATTTTTAATCTTTCTTTTTCTACTTTTTTATAAAATAATCTATAAAAAATGTTCTAATTGATATATCAAAAATGAATGCACAAAATTGTTAAGATGAATATTGTTAACATTAAGAAAATTTTTTTTTTTGAAAATATGTTAAAATAAAAAAGCCTTAAGGCTTTAAAAATTTTGAATTTTTTCTATTTTCTTTTTAAATTTAAAAAGAATTAAACATTTTAACTAATTTCAGAAGACAAATTATCGATTATAAGTTAAAGGAGCATGTAAGGCATCCACAAAATAAATTATTATACCTTTACTTAAGAAAAAAAATGTTGCAAGGGTAGAAAGGGGTACTGTGACCCCTTAAAAACTAAATAATAGACACAAATGAATAAGTACATAAAGCAGATGGTTGTTTTCATACTATACAGTATAAATGGTTCACCATGAAAAGGTAAGTGCAGATGGCACTAGGGGTCAAAATTTGTCACGAGACTTACTACTTCCAACTGATTTTTACATCTAAGCTTGAAAAAACGCATCATCCAACACTATTATACTAGTAGTGTTTTCAATATGACACATTCTGTCAATCTAACCTTCAACAAAACAAACTACAAATGAATTTGAAAAAATCTGCAGCTTGCTATGATGTAATCCAAAAAATAAGAAGAGGTGTTATTTTATACAAATATAGTCAAATAAGAGATACCACTCAAAACATGGCTAGCCTAACACTTTTTTTATGCTGTGATAATAATTTTGTTAAATCGTTTTAGGCTCAAGCTCTGTTAAAATTTATAAATTATAAAAGAGCTCTTACAATATTAAAATATTGAGAAAATATGGAAAATAATAAAAAATAATGATAAGAGAAGAAAATTATTAAAATAATTTTTAATTATCTACAAAGAATTATTAATAATATGGAAAGCAAAATAAAAAAAGATATAATCTCTTCCTCAACAGAGACGATTATTTACGCAAAAAGAAGTGCCTTCTAATACTGTATCAATATAGCCAAAGCAAAATATATCAATACAATATTGTGAGGAGCATTCAAAAAAATTAAAAAAAAAATAGAACACATTCAGTAAAAAATATATACAAAATAAAACATATTCAAGCAAAAAACAGAAAATAAAATGCTAAGAAACTGAAGAACAGTACACGAAAGGAAATCTATATAGTGAGGAGCGAATTAAAATGAACTTACACATACCAGAATCTTTATATATATNATACGAAATAAAACATATCAAGCAAAAAACAAAAAATAAAATGTAAAAAAATTGCAGAACAGTACACGAAAGGAAATCTATATAGTGAGGAGCGAATTAAAATGAGCTTATGCATACCAGAATCTTTATATATATATACACAGACATAAATATATATATATATATAAAATTGATATATACTGAATATAATTGAATAATATAAAATATAATTACTTTTAACTAAATCTTTAAATTACATTTTTCAAGTTTTTTGATCAAATAAAGTAAAAAGCATCAATATAATAAACATAAAAAATAACAATATAACAAATAAAGTAACAATAATTTATAAAAACAGGTTAAAAATTATTTTTAAAAAAATGTTTTAATCTTAATTTTTTTTTTGTCCTATATGGCAGGGGATACAGGATGTGCATCCCTCTTATAGATATTGCAACAGGTGCTCATGTCCCACCACATACAATTTTATACTTAAAAACAATTGTATATTTAAGAAAGAATTTTGTAGTTCTAAAATTGATAATGAGCTGGCAGAGTATAGTTTGACTTCAGGTATGTATTTGGTCTGGAAACAAGGTGAAAGAAATAACCAAAAGTAGATTCTTTTTAATTCTTCTCAAACATAATATTCATTTCAAGTCGCTTCTTGCTAAAATCATTATCTTACTTTTAATAAAGTAATTTTAAAAAAATCTGAAAAAATTACAATAGCAAAGTTTCAGATACTTCGTAAATCAGTTGTGTTTCAACTTATATGTGCACCCAGTGGCAGAATCGCAGAGACACATTATGTTACTGCTGAATAACTTCTCTTTTGAAAAGTTAAAAAAAAAAAATTTCCCCCCTACAGAAATTTGCGCATAATATTTGAATCATGCATTTTGATAGTCACTTTTAATAGTCACATGGATTTTAAATATCCTGATACATTTCAAACAATCTAAAAAATTCAAATCGTACAGTTGAGTACTTACTTTTTAAGGCAATAATTAGAAACTTTGCATCCATTCGAGGCACCCGATGCATGTGATGTCGTCTATATCTTTATCGGCAATTACTACTACCAATTTCAGGATTTTTAATTATTTTTTTTCATTGTGATGATTATTTACAAGAGGCGAAGAAGCAAATAATTTGAGCATTTCCTTTCTCCCCACACAATGCTAGAATATCACCCATAATATTAGAATAAAAAATTATTACTACTAAACTAAACTCAGGGGCGTGACAGCTCGTAGAGGGCCAAGGCCTATTGTGCCCATCTCAGTTTTCTTGACATTAGGCTCTGGGGTGCAGAAGCAGATGCTCTGGTCAGGTGGTCAGTCGAACGCGAAACCCCCAGTGAAAAAAATATATATATATAGTTTTGTCTTTTGCAAACACAGCACTTTTGTTATTTTAAATGAGTAACATATATGTTTGTTATTATTAAAAGTATCTCGAAGAAAAAGATTACTGCTAGACAGTTTTGCCGCAGATAGCTCGAAAAAATTCTGCTGCAGGGTTCGTGTAAAATCTGGAACCTTTAAGTTTGGAGAAATCTGTAATTGAAAAATATATATTTCTTTTCAAATGAGAACAGTATATTGCTTAACTATTTTCCATAATAATAGCATTCCTTCTTCAGAACTCTTTTTTTTATATAAATATTAAAAAATAAAGATTAATTACCTTTTCATACTCAATACATCCATTGGTAATCTTGCTTGTAATCTTTCAAATTCAGTTTTAATGACTTCAGTCTAAAAAAGAAATGGATAACTTACTCAAACTTAAAGCAAAATATGCAATGCTAATAGTTGATTAAAATTAAATATTAGTAATAAATGTTCAAGTTTACTTTGAATTTTATACAATAAAGCTCGGAAGAAAGATAGAATATAACTACAGTTAAAGCATCAAAATAAATAAAGAAAAAAAAATTATTTCAAGTTCAAAATTTATACAATAAATCTCTAATATATATTCAGTCTAAACTATTATTAACAAAATATTGGCTAACCCAAGTATAGTGAAACGTAGGATAGATAAAACACAAAAATTAATGTTTCTTTTTTTTTTTTTATTTAATAAGAAATTTGCACAATACTTAAAAAAGAAAAATGAAATAAATCCAAATTTTAAACTTCTAAATACCAAAATAAATAATTCTAATTGTAAAATCAAATTAGAATATCAAAACTAAATTATAAATTTTTTTCCTATTCAAAACTGGAAGACAACTAGCATTTTAAAATTTAGGCAATCAACATAATTTTTTTTCTTCTTTTTTTAAAAAAAAGAAAAAGTAATTAAATATTTTTACTTATTTTTTAGATATATTTCATCTATTACGAATATATTTTAGTGAACAAAATTGCACAATGGCCAACTTTTTCCACAAATACAACTGCATTATTGAAAATACCGGATGGGAAGATTTCCGTATGATCTGACGCAGAATTATCACCAAGTCTTAGCAACTTCTGGGCAGCGGCCTGCGAGAAACTAAAAAAAACATCACGGAAAGGGACTAACTTGAAAGGTATAACTTGAAGCCCCCCCCCCTCCTTTTTTATAAATTGCAAATTTAAAACCTATTTAGCACCTTGGCAATTGTAGTTGGAGCGGCAATTCTTGATACAAAAATATTTCCTTAACGGGAGGAAATATTTCTGCAATCTGATGTTTTGCGCCAACTTCAATTATCAAGGCACTAAATAAATTATACACTTGATTTAAAAAAAACAACATGTAGATGTTTGAACAGGAGTTACACCATTTAAGTAAGTCTCTTTCAGTGATTTTTTTCTTAGTTTATGGAGAGCCGCTGACAATCTTGATCAATATATGAAATCGCAGAGATCAATGTATGAAAATCTTTCAAGCTGGACACATAACAACCAACGATCCCCATGCAAATCACATAACTCTAAATAGAAGTTGCAGTAAACCAGAAGGCGATTTCACTGAAAGCAAAGAACATCATGGTAGCAAGAAACTTTGTTTCAGTGAACGAAAATTTACGTCAAACCAAGGGTACCCCCAATTCCTTTATGAAGCAATATGCAATAAAAACATAAATTAATTTTGATACTTCAAATGCATGCAAATTCAAAGGTGGCAGATGTTCAAGATAGTTCTTAGTCGGTCGATATCGACGAGTTTCTTCTTCTACCATAGATAACACCTACAACAGAAAAAATATTAATGAATCAATTTTGTTTTGAAGAATTTTATGTTAAACATTGGTTGCAACGACAATTCTTACCGCTTCTCTCACACCAGGATCATCATAACCTTGATCGATGTAAGGCAAGGCATCAACAATAACTTCACCAGCCATTATACTGAATAGAAAATCGTACAAATGAAAATTATTTATTAAGACGGGACGCACAATAATGAAAAAATTGTGAGCAAATGAGACTAAAATGAATAATTTGGAATAAAACAGAAATTAGCTTTTAGCTTATATGGTAACTGAATGATTCCTGTCTTATTGAAATAAGATAGATGGCGCTTGGCAGAGAACATTATTTAGAACAATAAACAAGGTAACCAAACGCTTTCAAATCTTTTGGATACAGTCCTCAAATTTCAGTTTCAATGGATGGTGTTTTCAATAGGAATGTAAACAATAACAATCTCGAGCTCGGCACCTACTCTAGTTCCGGTTAAAAAGTTTGCAGCTGCTTACTACATATTATTCTGATAGGCGATGTTTTCAAACGGATAATTTTGTTTTCAATAAAAGAAATAAATTAGATAATTTCTGAACTCAAATCTGCCGTATTTCATAAGATATTAATGTTATTATGTAATTCTAGGGAGTTTGGAGTGAATATTTGCTTTAGTTATTTTGTTATTTATTATTAAAAAAGTTGACATGGTTGCTAGATTTTGAATATCTCGCCTTTTTGGCAGTCTTGATTTTGCCTCTTTCCATTTGTTTATTACTGTTTGTTCGTGTTGCAAGTTGTGCACCATCATACGTTGGTGTTAACACTTTTAGCATTGTAAACACAAATATTGTTAGCATTGTAAACATAAGTAATCAAATACATTGTTTGCAAACATTGTTGCAGCTTTTCTAAAGTGTAATCACGGTAGTTTCTCACTCTAGGTATTTTTTTTATAACGTCTGACCATTTTTCTGTCGAAAAAGAAACGAATGAAACTTTGCACAAAGTATAGCCCCACTGCAGTGCATTTTTTTTTTCATTTTCCGTTCATTTGTTATTAATTTTCAAAATTTTTTAACGCCGACATGATATAATTGTTTATTAATATCTAAATAAAAATTTTGCACTTACGACAATTGTTTTATCAATGTCTTTGCATTTCACTGCTAAAGTTTCCACGCACACTTTTAGACGTCCGACGTTCTCGGAAAGTTGTTGACATTGGATAAAAAAAACACACTCTGAGATTGTTTTAAAATTCGAAAAAATGCTTGTAGTACGAGTAATAGAGGAGACTTCCATCTTCAAATTAAACACATTTTTAACGTGAAAAAAACATAATACTGAATAGCAGTACTTGAAAAGTGCCAAATTTGAATTTGCGCAAAGTAGCCCCACATGACGGTACCTTGAAACATTCTTAAATCTTAACGTTTGTCTGTAAAATTCCTCGAATTTGTCTGAACACTTCTAGTCGCTTTTAATATGCAATGATATATATAAAAAAAAAGTCAGAAATGGAAAGATTTGAGGATTTAAAGTAGTACGTTAATTGCTTTTTTTCTTTAATTTTGTAATAGCGGAAATATTTTAGCAGTTTGTTGTGAGTTGTATTTGGAGACCTATTTAAAAATTCTGTTTTTAATCTTTTGAAAATTTAAAAAGTTTCTACAATAAGTACCTAACAATAATTGTCCAGACAGTAATTGGCAGACAAGGAAATGGGATAGTGTAAGGAAAGAAAATATTATTAAAAATGACAATTTGTCATTTTTAATAAATATTTTTCAACGGTGCAGAAATTTAATTTGTAGAAAATCCTTCACCATTCAAAGCTCTTTAATTTACAAAAACTGCTTAGAAAATTACTTAGAACATTTTTAAAACATTTAAATCTGACTTTTTTCAAAAGTTACCAGAAACAATTCTCAACAAAACTATTATATTTTTTAAATAAATGTAGTGCATACCTTTAATTTTGCTGCAAACATTAAAGCAATTTTTTAAAAGTTATGTTGATTTCGGGCAATTTTTTTAATTCGCCCCAAAAAGTTTGCCTAATTTTATTGTCTATTATAGTTAGAGGACGTTAAGCAAAAAATAGTTCTTTTTTTAAGCATAAAATGTCCATATCTGTGAATATTTATGCTGAAGGTTTACAAAATTTTCATCAGATATTGAATATAATAACCAAAGTAGTAAAGGTAAGTAACCATCTTATTGCTATATTACTTGGCACATGATGTTTTAAAACGCTCATTTTCGTTATAAAGAAAAAATTTATCTTGGGATAATATCTTTCATTATTTTGAAAAATCTCATTTTCGTAAAGGAATGCTGATGTATAGAGAACCTTCACGTTTTCCCAATTAATCGTTGTCAATTTGATTTATGAGTTCAATAATAGAGAGATTAACGAAAAAAATGAAGGAAATAAAGAAAAAATAAGTTTTCTTTTCTGCGCATAAACAGCAAATAATTTCAAAATATTTTAAAGACAAGTAAAAATTTATAAGAAAAATTAAAGAAAAAACTGAAAAACAAAATAAGGGAACGCTAGAATCCCGTTATCAGCTCACGTGATTTTATCTGTAAAATGGAGTTCTTTCCAACATTGTGTTTATAAAGTCAAAGCAAAAGTGTAACGACCACCAAAAAAAATTCAAAAGAAAACGAAAGAAATTAAGCAAAAATTACGTAACAAAACGTATCGAAAAAGAATAGAAAAGAAAAACTTAAGACAGTACACGAGTAATGAATTCAGACGTCTTCCCACTAAAGCATGTTAACTACCTACAAAAACTAAAGAGAGATTTTGAGCTCGCTGACTGCATTTCTCGGCATTGCCTTCTGTTACATCTTTTTGTAGCTCCTCCCTAATATAATTTCTCTGCAGTTTGTTAATAAAATGTAAATCAATCATAAACCAGTTCCAGTATATTTCTTATAGTAATTTTAAGACAGTTGTCTTAAAATTAGTTTAGTGTTAATGTCATTTAAATGTTAAAGTTTTGTACAAAATGTAAAATAGCGTCATCAATATATTGTATAGTCTTTTAATAATAACATGTTATAATAACATGTTATAAATGTGCACATTCATTTAAATCTAATTTGCTTTAAATGTTATTCTTTTATTTTTCTTTATTTCTTTAAAATATTTTTTGTACGTTTCCGTCTAATATTTTTTTTTATATTAACATTACGAATTTCAGATAAATGCAAGGTAAACAACAATGTTTTGGATAAACATCAAATTAGTACAATAGTAATAATGAAACATAAATTAAAGCTTTATTAGCTAGCTTTTATGTAATAAATATAAGTATTGATTGTTATTCAAATTGAATTGTATTATGAATCTCCTTATGCACTTAGAAATAAAAATCTCTTATTTAAGTTTATTAAATATGATTGCAGAACAAGGGCACCGGCAGAATATAAAAGGGGGTGCAACCCTCTAACAAACAACCCCCACCCCCCAAAAATTTTTTTTAAATATTCTGTTATTACATTTTGTTTTGTTATTACATATACTTTCATCTGTTAATTTTTTTCATCTGTTTCAATAGAGAAAATTCTTATAAATCCCTCGATTTAGTCATTCAGGCCACACCGTTTTATCCAGCTGTAGAGGAGGCAATCGAAATTGGCCTAACTCTTCCAGCTACTATTGAACGCACTTTTAGTACAATGCGACGCATCAAAACATGGAATCGGTCTACGAGAGATTGAGTAGTTTGTGCATGCTCAGTGTGCATAAGAAAAGCATCAAAGATGACTCAGAATTCATTGAAAGAGTTACAAACAGATTTGGACAGCTAATAAGACGATTACAATTCTCCTTTGATTAAACGATGTTTTAATTGTTATGTATCAATAATTACTTACATGTTTTTGAATAAAAATATTTCAGAAAAAAAAATTCCTTTATAACAAAATTGTTTTTCAATCTTTAATTGTTTAAAAAAAAAAAAAAAAAAAAAAAGAGGGTGCAAGTGNTAAATTTTTAAAAAAAAAAAAAAAAAAAAACAGAGGGTGCAAGTGCACCCCCTTGCATCCCGCTGCCGGTGCCTTTGTTGCAGAACCATTCAGTTCAGCGTGAATTTATTATATGAGATTTTAAAATGTATATAAATATTACCGTAAAATTATTTTTGATTATTTGACAAAGATTTTATCATATAAAGGAAAATATTCTAAAATTTTTAAAAATGTAATTATAATTCAGCAAAAAAAATTGTTGAATATTTTTAATGAATAAAATTTATTTTCCTGCGAGTATCATATAACAAGTTCACATATTACAATAAGTATAACACGTTACAAGAAAATATACACTAAAGTAGGAGAGAATTATTAATATTATTTTATATATTTCCCATTTCCACTTCCCAACGCATTTCCATCTTCTGTCAAAAAATCGAAATCTGATGTTTGAATATTATTAAAGTTTAGCGTTTAGGTAAATAAATAAATATATAAAATAAAGGGACATGAATGAATATAAAGAGATAAAGCTTAGTTTAATTTCTATTGTTTCTTAAAAATTGTTTTTGAAATGAATGAATATTTAACTGTTACGGGGAAACTTGAAATAAATTAGAAGTTTTAATATTTACATACTTCAATGGATGCAAACTTTTTAGTTTAATTCTGAAGTAATAGAGGACGCCACGAGTTGAATAAATCTGCTTAAAATTGACAAAGATAAAACTAATAAAAAAAATAGAAGTTATGCAAACTCATTCTCTTATATAACGGAATGAAACTGTTTTGTTAATATATAAATATAATTTCAAGAATGTATCTATTACTTTTCGGACTACTATTGAAGTGGATGTTATGAAATTTTTTTACATCAATTCAACTAACTGGATGGGGTTATTCAGTTGACTCTTGGGAATGAACCTATTGAAGAAGTAAAGCAAATAAAGTATTTGGGAGTTATTGTTGATAATAAACTGCAGTTTAAGCAGCACATATCTTATGTATCCAGTAAAAGTGAAAAACTTCTTCTTGCTTTATTGCGAATTTCAAAAAATACTTATGGGGTTAAAACAGATGTTCTTAAATTAATATATAATCAAGGTATTGTACCACTTATTTCATATGCTTCAGGATCTTGGGGAAACTCTTTGAGAAAGAAGATAAATATTAGAATCCTTAGAAGAACTCAAAGAAGAATTCTTCTACGTATTATTCGGGGATATAGAACTGTTAGTTATGATGCGGTCTTTGTTATCGCTGGTCTTCCG